ACCCGAAGCCCATTAACCCCTATACTCCTCAAGTCCTAAGCCCTAAAGCCCGACCCCCTGACCCTGAACATCGCAAAACCCTCCACCCCTTCCAAATCTGGCCCCCGGGACGATTTCAAGTCTGGGCCCACCTCTGTTCTGGCGTGCTGGCCCGCTTCGTCTACGAGGCTTCGAAAAGTGCCTGCACTAGTTTAGGGGTCTTAGGGCTTGAGGGTTGAGGGCACTTTGACCTCCTACTTAGCAAGGACGGGGAAAATGGACCTCCTCAAGTCGTGCACAAGGAATTCACCGCATGTCGTTGCGACCTGCGCCCATGAAACGTAGAGGAAGACTTCCTTCCCACTATAACTGTGATCGCAGCACTGCTTACCACAAGATCCAACGAACCCAGGTCGCCTAGGTCCACATCGGAAATCACTTACTCTCGCACCGTGGCATGTGCAATTGTATAACAGCCAACCAGAGTAACGATTTCTTTCTCTCCCTCTAGATAAGCAAAACTATGTACACATGTGTGTATACATACGCTGACATACATTTACCCATGTGTGTCGGTATGTGTTCCTGTCTCTGTGTCTGTATGTCTGTACGTCTGTATGCCTGCATGTCTGGATGGATGGAAGGAAGGATGAATGCATGTATATATCTGCATTAAAATGAGCCCGCATATTCTATAGAGTTGCTTTGTACTGTTGTGTGCGCTCACCGATTCTGCGTTCTCTGCCTACAACCTTGTTGCCCAACCTCAAACCTCAAACCCGAACACTCCAGACCCTGCAAGTCTGAACCTTACACCTTAATGCCTAAAACCGAAACATAAAATAGACCTTAACCTTAAATCCTAAGCCCCAAACCCTAGGCTTTGGACCCTGGAAACCTAAACCTCAGCCTTAAAACCCAAATGCCAAACTACCTCAAGCCCTGAACCTTGAACCCTATAAAGCTCAACCTTAAGGCCTTTTGCAACCGGCCTGCAAGGACTCTGTCAGAAACCTGAGTCAGAGCCTTGAAACCTAAACCCTGCGCCTTAAAGCCTAAGCCCTAAACCCCAAAACCCCAAGTTCTAAGCCCAAACCCAAAACCTAAGAACCTATCAACCCTAAACCCTAACAAACCCAAATTTCTAAGCCCAAACCCAAAACCTTAGAAACTAAAAGCCCCAAACCCTTTTCTTCTCGAACCCAGACTCTGCCAATCAGCTGGGAAGCAGCACTTCCAGATTATTGCATCTGGGAAGTAGCGCCGCCAAAATCAAACCTAAATCCCTGAACACGAGAGACTAAACCCTAAACCGAAAAAGCCCTAAAGCCTAACCCCGGCAGGGCCAAGGCCGCACCTGGAGAACTTTCCACCGTCAGAAGCGGGAAACTTAGCATCCTCAGGTCCTGGAATCGGTTTAGGCTTTAGGGTTTAGGGGTTTAGGGTTTAGGGTTCAGGGCATTTAAGATTTAGGGGTTTGGTTGTAGGGGTTAGCATCCGCAGGTCCTGGAATCGTTTTTTTTTGCCCCTGGTACACTTCTGGCAACGGTTTAGGGTTTAGGGCATAGGGCTTTCAAGATTTTCGGGGTTTAGAGATTTTTCCCTGGTACACTCACACTCGTACAAAGCCTGGCAAGGTCTGTAGCGATACTGGTCCACCAACGAAACAGAAGACACTGCAGTAGATTTCACTGAGGGCTTCGTTGTCAGGAAGGGCTTATTGACACGCCAGAAACAAGTACACACCATGGACAACAGCCCACGTTGTCAGACGGTTTAGGGTTTAGGGCCCTTGGGCTTTTCAGATTTTTAGTGTTCGAGGTTTAGGGATTAGGTTCTAGAGGGTGTGGGGCTTTAGGGCTCTAGGAGTTCAGGGTTTAGAGCTTAAGGGTTTAAGGCTTAGGGCTTTGGGGTTTCGGGGGTCGGGGTTAGAGATTAGGGTCTAGAGGGTGTAGGGCTTCAGGGATTTAGGGTGCGGGGTTCCGAGTTTTAGGGTGTGGGGTCTAGGGTTTAAAGTTTCGAACTTTTGCGTGCTCTTGCCATCCGCATCCGACAAAGTCAGGCGAGGTTGTAGGGGCAACAAAACAACCCAACACTTTCAACGAGAGCTAATTTCGAGCCTGCGCAGTGCGCAGTCCGCGCATGCCTTCAGCATGCTCATAGCAATTGTCATCAGCGATGTCTCAAACCCAATAAAACTGCATTGTGTAGGGTTTGGGGTTTGCATTGAAGGTACGTGCAACGCACCATTCTGGAGCTGAAGTTCAAGCCGCTTTTCCGCTCATTTTTGGTGGGCGCCATTTCTTTTGACTGCTGCTATCATAGCAGGAAACCCCTCAACCACGAGCAGCCTTTGCACCTGTGAATTAGCCTTATCCAACATTCTATATGATGATGAGCTATGATGTTGAGGGTTTAGAGCTTTGCGGGACAAACCACCATGCATATCGAACTTGCAGCTGACGTCCTTTGGGAAATGGCCCTCGCACAGGGCCACATACTGTTTTGTGACCTCGGAACAACGTGTTGGAACATCTGCGGAATATATGTATATATATATATATAACTTTGTCTTTTGGTTGCTAGCAGCTGCTAGCATGACATATATCTCCAAGTCTGTACGAACCCTGACCACATCAACATCAGGGTATCACAAAACAGCCTGACTCACGGGCTCTTCCTACCGCCTGCATGTACCACAGAAGTGGAGCCCTGGGCTAAAGGTACTCAGGTTGGGGCTGAACAAGCCCAAAGGTCTTCAAAACACTTCGACGCCCGTCGCCCAGGGCGAAAAACCCAAAGCGCCTTGTTTTGGGATGGTAGCAAAAAGCACAAAAAACCTGCAACATTTAGTCCTTAGACCCTTCAGGACTTGAACCGAAGTCCATACAGATCCCCGACCCGACTCTGCATGCCCAAACCTCGGAAGTGCGAAGGGCTTCGGGTTTTTATGGCTGCGCATGAATTCTACATGGTGGTGGCTTGAGGTTGAGCATTTCTTTTTGGTCCAGCGGTCCTTAAACTGCATATCATGCTACTCGGGGTCTATAATGGGACCGCTGCTCTGAAATCGAAACTTCTGCATAACAAAACAACGACCCAAACCTGCGAGCCCTGAAGCCCACGAAGCCGAAAGAGGGTTTAGGGTTTAGGGTTTAGGGCATGTACACCCTTCAAAAAACCTCTGAAACCCTAAAACACCCTCAGAAGCACTCAAATGAGATGCAAACCCGGCGGGCATTGAACTCGAGCTTTGCTGCGAAATAGCCCTCGTAGGTCCTTGTCTGGTCTTGAAGTTGCTTTTGGGGTTTTCGGCTTAAGGCTTATGCTTTTCAGAGGGGGGCGGTGTTGGTGTCGCTAATGCTTGTGGGACATGGACTCTTGCACTCGCACAAGGCAGGCAAAGCTTCACGACAAGTCCGAACTGAGCTGCAACTTGTTTTTGCGCAGTTTGAAGTTTTGGCTTGTGCGTCGTGTTGAGGGCTTACGACTCTTGGGTGTGGGGTTTTGTGATGGATAGTGTCGAAACGAGCAGTGGGTCTTGCTGTAAAAGACTTGCTTGGCGCTCAAAAGTTTGGACGATCACAAGATTCACGTCCCACTGAAGGCCTCATGGCATCTGCACTGTCAACATCTGGGTTCAAGAGTTTGATGTGTATGGGTCCTCGCAGATACCCCGAACGATGCACCCCAATCAATCGGCAGGGCTGAAAGCCCTACAGGTGAGACCTCGAAAGTTGGGAAGTTCCGGTCAAGCTAGTTCAAGCCAAAATCTTTATGTGTCTTATAACTTCTAACTGAGCCATGGCACTGTGCCACCAAGAGGGATCCCGACGTGTTCCGGTCCAAGCGATGCACGAAGCCTAAAGTCTCCGAGGAGGGGGGGTAAAAGATAAATCCTTAAACAGTGAAACCGCAAACCATGAGGCCCTNNCCCCCCCCCCCCCCCCCTCCCGCGCAACGCGTTGAAACCCTAAAGAAACCATCGGACCAACTAACGCCAAGCGAGTGATTCCTGAGATTCCTCTACTCGGGGCCTAACAAAGGGGCCACAAGGATTGGAATGGGACTTTGGGGGGTATATTATACTATAAGT